CTCCACGCCGTCTCTTCCAGCTCAATTCTAGTGCGAGCATATGAGGCGCGGCATGGCAAGGGCTCGCATAACCTACGTAGAATGTGGCCAAACCACCTCTGTTAACGCATTGTGGCAAAGCGATCAAGCGGAAGGCTCATGTTTCCCAAGACGCGACGCCGGACTTCATCGTTGCGAATCCGGTGTTGCCACCACACATGGGCTATCCGTCGCAAACATGTATTGTCGATGACCGAAAGCTTACGCATGTCCTCCACACGAGTCAACCAGGACTCACTTCCGTACAACAGGACCGCACGGACACAAGCATGCTAGACCCTCCACTTTATGGGGAGGGATATGTCCCGACGACCGGGCTTTGGCAATGAGGAGTACCTACTTCCCACTAGTACTTCATCAGAAATACAGCTTTCGAGGCAGATAATGTTGTCCACAAGCTCTACCTGTCTTCCTTCAATTGTAAGTGAGGAGGCAGACGACTCCCAGTCCTGGAGTAGCACTTTACACTTCAAGGGGGAAAAGTGCATACCATATCTAGGCGGTTCACAAAGAGCTGTACACTCTGCGCATCGATATCGTCAGCATAAACTAAGTCGGTCACAGGATTGGCAGGCAGATGCTCAACATCAAAATTTTTCGAGCCTTCCAGAGATCTCCACAGGACATCCTCAATTGCAAAGTTGAAGAGGGATGGAGACGAAGGGCATCCCTGTCGCACACCACTAGTGATAGCGAAGGGTGTGGAAAGCTTGCCATGGAGCCCCACCCCACCGGACACTTAGAAGTAAAGCATTCTAATGATGGTAGTTTACTTCTCGGGGACTCAATTTCTTAGTAAACGGTGTCATAAGACGAGTCAAATGCAGCTCTAATGTCCAGGAAGATGACAAGGGTTGGCCTGAGTTAGAGATGACGGGGTTCAAGGATTTGTCGTGGCGTGAATATCTGGTCCAAACATCCTCGACCGGGATGAAAGCCAGCTTGTTCTTCGCGGTAAAGCAGTTCAACTATCGAGGATAGTCTGTGGAGAAGAATGGATACCAGCAGTTTGGAAGAAACTGGTATGAGACTGATTCCCCTGTGATTAGCACAGGATGTGCAAGCCCCTTTCTTGAGAGTAGAGACAATTACTGACTCACCCCAGGAGGGTGGAACCTTCTCTGCGTGCCGTATCTTGGAAAACGGCGATTTCAACTGCTTGACACGTGCTGCGCTGCCAAACTTAAGTATCTCCGGAGGAAGTTTGTCCGAGCCTCGAGACTTGATTCTCTTGAGGTGTCGAATCTCGACGGAAACCTCCACTTCATTAGGTGGCTCCAATGAAGTGACCCAGGTTATGCGATTGGGTGTACTTGGCATACAACCGGACAATGGATGGTGATTGAATTGGGAGTGTAAATGTTCGGCCCAACGCTCTACGCGTCTTCGTAGGTTTGTGATTCGTGACACCATCCGCTTTGCAGATAATGTCGCTGACATCAAGCCTTTTGGGGCCGGTTAACCGAATGAGCTGGAAGAGCTTGCGGAAATTGCCGGAGAGAGCAGCGGTCTCCATTTCCTAGGCGCGCTGAGACCACCAAATCTTGCGGTCATTACGCAAGTTTTGTTTGAATTGGCAATTGAGAGTTAGGCGCACAGAGTTATGAGGTGACTTTGGGGTCGCGCTTCGACTGCAGCCAAACAGTTCTAGCAAGCGAGCTGAGAACTAACTTTTCAAGAGATGTTAGGTGATAAATGAGACTTCCAAGGTGACGTTCATGTGGAAGCAAGCGACCGACCCGTGCATAATAATTGCCAGCAATTATAACGATAGCCGACTTGTACACTTTACACAAAAGAAGTTGAAGTTCACGGTACAAATTGTGCTTGACGGAGTCGCTGCAGCCAGTTGGGGCTTACGCAGAAACGACAAACAACTTGCGTGTTCCTTGTGATGCCTCTTGACATGACATGATCCCTGAAGCCGAACTGCGCAAAGAATACTGTTAACTGGGAACCGGTTGAGCAACGTAGCTGCGGCTTTCTTACTTAGTGCTACCTCAACGCCAGCCAAATCTGATGCAGCTGCTTCTGCATCGATGGAGAGACGCAGCTAGTATATGTTTCCGCGACTAGAAAGGGGACGTCAGCCTGAGCACATTGCTGGGATCATGAAATCCGGTTTCGAAAACGCAGTAAACGTCAGTGGCGAGAGACCGGAATACGCGCCAGGCCGGCTGGTTTGCCAATCTGTAAAAGCGTTCGTACGTTGATGAAAGCCAATTAGAACATAGATCGAGGTTGAAGGATGGCTGTCAGTTGAGGTTTTCGTATGTCGGTAAAACAGGGATCGGAGTTAGAATCAACGGATGTGTTGCGGTGTAGTGAAAGTTGGCGAACGATAAAGACAACACTAACCAAAGCGTGAAAATAAGGCAAACATATGGTTTTTCTCAACCGACATGATACTCCTCGGTTACCCAGACCCAGGTAGAGTTGACTTAGGGCACTCTGCCCCGAGCCTTTGGCTCAATAGCCTACCCGCAAGGCAGCGGAACGAAATCAGACGATCGCATCCAATGGGCGCCAGTGATCGATTGTTCGTTTTATACGCCTTTTGCTTTTTCGATCTACCAACATGGAGCCCAGTCCACCCAGAGATTCAGCCTCCAGCTGAGGGATTACAATGCTTTATTAAAGCAAAGCAAGGGACGATGACTTTATTTATCTGCGAATCACATCCACTACGTCACATTGTTGTTTAACAGACATTTATGACTTTTATAGGGATAACGCCTGCCAGGCGAAAACCCACCACCTCATGGAACACTACCACCGAACTTTCCGCTGGAACGGAGTAAACCCGAATCACTCAGCTGGCGCCACGAGGAGGTAGTTCGGCAAACCAGTCCAGGTAATCGGTTCACAACACAACATTTGTCGACCATCTGCCTGGGTCTCGCCACAACAGGCCTCAGTGAATTATGGATTCTCCCGCCGGACGGTTGAGGTGCATGTTATGAATCGATCCATATGTTTGAACGGGTATGTGTAAGGGAGATCGTCACAGCCGACTGAACCATGCAATTACACTACAAATATTCAGGAAGGCAGTGTTTGTGTCCAGTGGCAACTTGACACCGTCGGCAATGATGCTTGTTGTCCCGTCTAAACATACACGCAATCCATTGACGTTCCAATGCACATGCACTTACTGACCTCGGACTCCAACAAGGCGCTCATGCACTCCACATGTTCATTGACATTAAGTCAATGATTGGCAACGCATTTGTCGTCAAAAGCACTCAATGGGCGCATGGAGAATACTCTTTTAGAATGAATCCCGGTGAAGATCCTTACCAACCACTTGGAGCTACTCATCAGCGATTATGGGCATGCATTTTTATCCTTTTGCCATGTACTCCCATCTATGTTAGTCTGGGAGCCTTCCTTAATTCTTATGTTGAAAAGTACAAATATCAAGATCATTTTGGGTGACAAGAGTGCTCAAGAAGCCGCTTCAACGGTCGTTCCCCCTTTTTGTTGATTGTCGCACTTATAGGAGGGGCCACCCTTTAACTAAGTACTGGATGCATCCTCTATGGTAATACTTGAGCCCTCATGCACGGGCGTTTGCATCTTGTTACGTGACGTCTAACGAATGACAGGGTGTCTTGGACTGAAGACGAGAAATTCAACATCCGCCACCGGTGATCCTCTCAGTACTAGATTATCAGTCAACCTGGGGTCTACCTTGCTCCCCCTCTCGGTATCCTGTGTGCAGACATGATACCCGCTCTTCCTGCATTTTCAAACTAAGAATCTTCAATGTGGTTTGTTTTTCAACTACACCCGTCATCCGTCTACTTGCTTTTGTTTCTTCACTGTTATTTTCGGTAGTTTACATGCTTTCATAATGTAAACACTAAGTCCGCTTCAATCATTTCGTCATCGCAGATGGAAGTACTTAGGTTGCGCTATGTCAACCTTTCGACTGTTCTCATCAATCGCAAACACAATATAAGTAGAATATATATATATATATATATATATATATATATATATATATATATATATATATATATAATGTCCTAATCAAGACCAAGGCAACCCAATCGATCATCATAAGAGTTTTGTGCACATAGCACAGGTAGATGCATCCTAATTAGCACTGCCTCGCTAATTGCCAATATTATCGGTCTTTGTTGCACAATAACACCTTGAACACGGTCTCCGGGTTCACATGATGACGAGTTACCCTGAGGCGCTTAATAATACATGATACTGGGTTCCGGTTCATCCTCGGATTCGCTTCGTTTTGTCTCGTCATTACTTGTCCCAATCACTCTGGCAGACTTTCAGGTACCATAAGAGCTCATGGACTGTCAGTTCTGTCCATCTAAATGTTACCGCAACTGCAGGTGAACTAGAAAACAACATGAGGGGCCGAATTGCCTGATGAGCTGCCCTGACTGTGATGAAGAACAAGACTACGCGTAGTCTCAACTAGGCGGTCGTGTAAGTGCGCGTTAGAGCGGACAAGAGCTTGTGTCCGATATCATTTGCTCCATTGTCCGCCTTTAACGGCGAGAACAATTAAACATCATTTTTCACCATATCTTTCCCATTATTACTGTCCGGCGAGACCTTCCGGTAATTTGTGCAAATTTGCGCGTTCACCCTGCAATGCTTCCAGATTGTACTCGCTTGCCTGCTACCTATTTTCAAACGACGCACAAATCCGCCCCACTAGATGTCTACCGTTTGCTAAGAATTGTTGCGCTCTATTCCCTCGCCTTAGCTCGTTCACTCTTGCTAGTTTTCTAGCAAATGGTCAATTGCGAACATTTCACATCTGGAGCCCATTTCCACTTGGAGACTTGAATCAGTGGCGTTTCTCCCATTTCGTTCATTCCATTTGACTTATCCCAGACTGCTTCTCCATTCCGTTCATGTGTCGTCGTACACACTGTTAAACTGTGAACCACCATTGCTTTCCGATATCTCTCTGTTATCTATAGATCGTCTGCGTGGTGATGAGGCGCGAAGACACCAAGCCGCAATGGAAAATGTGCAGTCCCAGTTGAATTCACTACGCTCGGAAAACGAAGATCTTCACTCACAAGTCAGTCATCTTCAAAGTGAACTAATGGTGAGATTCCTGTTAGTGATGCATCATCCGAACATATTTTGGGCCCTTTTGTGTCAATTCACCCCACGAATCACTTCATTTTCCGTGCTGGTTTTATTTACTTTGTACATCCCGTCAGCTACGAGCACAAGTCTGCCCCATTGGTCATGCGCATATCACTTCTTCATTTTCCGCAGGTTGTCTCATCTACTAGGGGCGAAGAGTCTTCAGCTCTTCAAGCGGATGTATCAGATTTGCGATCGCAAGTCTCGGACCTGCAAGCCAAATTGGAGCAGGCGACGCGCTCACATCAGCATCCAAACAAAAGTCAACCATCCTCTGGTATATTAACCATCCATTCGGAAGATGCATCGGCGGATCCCAGCAGCACGCAGCAAGTAAGCAGGTTTCCCTTCATTTCAGCATATTCTCTTCACGTTTTGTGGTTTCAACGTTATGCTGCTCTTTTTGAGGGCAAGAAACTCCTTTACGACCTCACGGTTTGCAACCTCCTCTTCTTTCTTATTGAAGGTGTTCTCTTCGGAACATAAGGCTACTAGCTATCATTATTTTCTTGTATTCCTTTCTGGCAACTTGCTTTTTATTGGCTTCTGAGTTGACCTGATTGGATTCTCTGTAGTGTAAACTGCAAATTGCAGGAAAAGCTATCCGTTACTTTTGATGCTCAATGCTTGACTAGACCTAACTTCACTCGAATACTTCCCGGCAAACATGATGTTAATGATTTCTAACGATCCTCCGTCCTCTGGTCTCTTTAGCACCTCTGTCATTGTGCTCCGACCCGATTGATACTTAATGTCAGGATTCATTTATGCATCCCAGTCTTATCCACTCTCCATTTTTGTCCACTTTCTGGATGTTTATAGATAACACGGACGCAAATTCAAACGACTGCTCTTCCCCGAGACTACACGGACGTTGCTCCATCCTCGGACTTGGTGCGCCAGCTGCGAGCCGAAATTCTACGCGCGGACTCCATTGACTCCTTGTGAGTTCCCTTTCATTCGTATTCTTTTCGCATTTCCTTATTCCTACATAACTTCGTGTTCACTACTTTTTGCTCTTTTTCCTTTTCGAAACCAGCCTGTGGCGCACCAGAATATGCTCGTTATATGACTTAGATAAGCTACTAATTTTAGCCTTGCCATGCTCATGTATATCAGTAAATCCGTTTGGTTCCAAGACATCACTCTTTAACGTCTGAGTACGATTGTCCGAATCTGGTGACAACCAGTGGTTATCATGGTTCCTTCATGTTTCGCAGCTATCCTGCTTGAGTTTTAAGTTGTTGCTGATCTGCTTGTGATTACCAAGTGCCGCGGATCCCTAACTCGGTATCTCGGTCTATGCTTTCGCACGTTGCGTTTCTAATGTCCAACCGCTGAACCAGTTGATGTGCACCACTTGCCAGACTAATCTTACCTTGGTTTTCACTAAATTGCAATTTCTCTCCTCAGCTCCGAAGTGCATTGCTTTCAATTTTGATTATCCAGTGGTCCATAGCTATCGTTTCGTTGCTGCTATTTCCTACTAACGGTTCTTTGTTAACTGGCTTGCACCATTTTACGAAGCACACCTAGTGACTCATTATCATCATCAACAACGACAGCCTCTTAGTACTCTGTGATCTTGATCCACTGTAATGTGTCCGTAGACTAATGTGAACGGTTTCCTCGTTCGGGAATAAAAAGGGAGCTAACACAGAGCCTGAGCATATTTGACATGCTTGGGGTGAAAGCGCCTTCAGCCTTTCAGCATGATAATGCTGGTTTACACGGGATGACAAGACGACAGCAGGCGATACAGCTTCAGGCTTTCACGTCCCGACAGTATACTTGACCCTACTGGACGCACATTGTACTATACACCCTTTAGACAGCCAACCGTGTTAGGATACGGTAGCAAGCACCTCTGCTTCCATCTCGATTGAAATCCTTGACCATATCTTCTGGTTTAAAATCTATACCGCGAGGTAACTTGAACTTTGGCAATTGCTTGAAAGCTGGGCCTTTTTCTCATTAATGAAGGGGCCACCTTTGCTCCAATCTGTAAGACCGAGCTAATGCGTTTATATAACATGTAGCTTGAATGTCGTCAGTAGTCTTAAAGGCACTCGTCAACGCCACTCATTGCTGCTCAACAGATCAGAAGGGTATACGATACTTCGTGTGTTGTTATGGTCCAGTTTACCCGTGACAATTGTGGTTCACATTAACCCTCATGAAATCCCAAATGCCGGAATTAACCAATGTCTAAACGCTAAGACGCCGTATCCGTGCTCACCCTATTTTCCTGCACTCTCTCAGACATCCTTCGGTGCGATCAAGTCATTACTCCAACCAGGTGTTTATGCAGGATTACGAAGCACTGCATTTACACAATGCCGACCTACAAGTAGGTCCTCCGTTCATCCTGTTTTCCACATTTGATTTATCAAGAACATTTTGCCGTGTTTCATGCTTCTCGCCAGTATTTTCGCATGTCCTGGAACTTCACTACTATGCTGTAATTTACACTCCATCTTTCCCATTTCTGTCTTAATTTGGCATGCGTCGTCTTTCTGCGTTCGATAACGGTTGCTTAAGGAGGATCGCTCGTGTTTGGTGGCAACATCGAGTTAATAGTAATGACGTTCGATGTCGCATCTTGGGGAATGCGAGTATTCTCTTCAACAAACTGGTTTTGTTGCGCCAGTTAAGATGGCTCGGTCACGTCCTAGGCATGTCACCTGAGCGTCTACCGCGTCGCGCACTATTCGCTCGTCAAGGACCTGGCTGGAGGCGACCGCATGGTGGTCAGCCTTCCACTTGGTGGCAGCACATGAAATCGCTGACGTCGTGTTTATCCGCTGTTGGACCCGTACGTCTTCCAGGATGGGGACCCAAAGATGAGGAGTGCCAATGGCTTAGCACTCTTGAGGACATGGCCCGCCACCGGAATCAGTGGAAGAATTGTCTACAGTATTGTATTGATTCACATGTTAAATACTACAAACATTAAAATGACAAAAAAAGCACAAAAGCGGCGTGTGAAAAACAAACTAAAAATGTTTTGTTCTACTTTTTGTCAAAATGTTCCATTCTTCCTGCGGCATATTGGTTGAAGTGTGTTGCTCACCTTCAACTAGCATGCCACGATGATTATGACGCGATGACTTGCTTATCCACTGATCTCCATGGTTTTATGTTGGCTCCGTGTCTAGCTGATAGACTGTTGAGATCACATACATACTTAATTTGACACGTTGTTAATCAGTTTTGAAACCCTTTTATATTTCTCTCCGGAGCGTTACTGTCGCCCCGCACACTGTTCATCGCGATTCGTGTGTTTTTGGGTGGTGTAGTTGTTTGCGAGCATCTATGATCAACAGTCGAACCCGCTTTATTGCCCACCATCGAGATATTTCAATAGTCGGCAATAAAGCGGGATGGGCAACGAACCGATATTGCCATCTTTCTCAAAAAGATGACAACCATTGACTTATTGCACAATATACCATTTGAATTGTAACGTGCTAAGAAGGATAAAATACGTACTTGTAACTAAAGCTTACAAAAAGCGTTGAAAGTTAAAAATTATAACATAAAGCATCCTAAAGTTTGACTTGGAGTGCCAGTGTTGGGAGGAGCAACACCAAAATATTTCCATAAAACATCCTACCTGGATAGCAACAGAAACTGGCGCTGCTGTATGTTGTTGCTGAGAAAACAATCCAACGTCAGTTGCACATTATCTTGAGCTGCTACTCCAGTCACTTTTGCACTGATGCAGTCCAATTTAGACAAGAAATGGTTGCCTAACTCATGCAAAAGTCCTTAGCTATACAGATCATTCACACAGTTCTTTGCTCTTGAATGCAATACGCGCTGATTGCTGTTACTCACGGAGACATCCGGCACCTCATCCTCTGTGTCACTGCTTTCTTTCTGTTCTAGTCGGTTCTGTGAAATTTTACTGATGATTTCATCTTCAACAGTTATCAGATCTGAGGTACATTCCACATCGTTGCCAATGGCGATGAACTCTTCTGCATTTATGACCGGGATTGTGCAAGCGCTGATCTCGCCCTCAGCGATGACGGCGTCATCATAAAGTGCATCGGGATCCCAGCCGACTGTAGCTAGCATGCCGAAAGCGCCTTTATTGTTACACCGGTAACTTATCTACAACTTTTTGAAACGAACTGAATAGCATCGAGCACATAAATCTTGGTGTTGACATCCACACTGACGATGAGCCAGCTAACACGTTTTCGATGTGATGAAGAATTCGGTCCACAATTTCCTTTCTGTAACGTATTTTCAATTCCATAATCACATCTTGGTCGTGTTTGCCATCGAAAATGCTATTTGAATGATTTTGACGCCTGCCTATGGATGCACTGTGCAATTATCCAACAGTAACATACATTTTTAGTTACTGTGGCCTAGCTCCTTGTCCCATTCGTTAACCCACTCGATGACAAATTCCTTCGTTATCCACGCATTTTTATTAGCTCTGTAAGTTACGGGAAGTGTGTCCACTTTCACGCCATTAAGACTTCATGGTTTCTTATTTTTTCCATTCAAGACTAGTTTTTCTTTATTCGAGCCTGACATATTCGAGCAGCACAGGATAGTGCTCCTAGCTATGACCTCTTTCGTCCACTGAGCTTACTCGATAAGAAAACCTGTTACCTCTGCATTGTATACGTTGCCTTCATCAAGTGCATGTAAAAGTTAAGACGGTCGATCTTACAGCCAATTTACACAGTCTGCTTTGTCCGCGGAACTCTTTTCGCCAAATACACGTTCATACCTAATTTGATTCCTATTCTTCCATCTTTACAACCATCCTTCTGTGGCATTCAAGGATTTTCCAAATCTTTCCCCGAATTCTTCCTTTTTCTTCAGAAGCGGTCTGTAGATGTTTGATTTGCTCACGAACCGAAATTATCCAGTTCAACTTTTCTGTCAAGGACAAATTCTTTCTGTTACTGGCCATACTTGTGTGTAACCAATAGACTACTGACAAATGTTGAGCGGAAAGATTACGCGACTTTGCTCAGTTCTCGAGTTTTGGATAGGGCCGAGGGCTTGCCCACAGCCGTCTGTATATTTAGGTTGCTTGTGTATTGAATGACGTAGGTAAGTTTCTCTGATCTAGTAATAACGTCGCCGACATCTTTTTCTTAACTCTATCGGGCTGGCTAGCTGTGGGGTAACCATAATAAAACAGTCGGAGCGAGGGCGTAAAATTGACAAAGCGACGAAAGCACAGCCATGGCAACTAGGAAATTAAGCGGTGGGATGACTTCGGCGATGGGCAGTTAGACGTGGAAAATTTAGCGTATTTATGAGAAAAGAATCTGATATTTTGAGAAACTGGGCAATAAAATGGGGGTATGCTATAAAACGGGTTCGACTTTCGTTGGTTTCACTAGGTGGCGCAATCCCAGCACACTTTAATATTCCTACGGTGGAGGTCAGACAGACTTGATGGTAGGGAAGCGGTGAATCGCCCTTGCACTCAAGAATTAGTTACGAAAACAGTTTTTTATGAATTAACGTCGGTCAGATTGGAGTGGGACACCATCGCTACGGCTCTTCTCCAACTATTCTTACCCATCACTTTGTTATTGCTTGCTTTAAACTAAGCAGATCTTGACTGATGAGGTGAACATTCGTCTTTGTTCATCTGCTGTTGACCACCATTATAGATGTGTCACGCACGTCGAGTATTCTCGTCCTTTTAACGGGCCCCATGCAAGTCCCTTTGACATAAGCTATATTCTTCGCCTGTCTGACATTACGGAGTAGATAGCCCGAAATATTTATGGTGTCTGTGCGTCCCTCACTAGAAGAAATTATGAGAACCTACCTATTCAGACCCTGGTAGATAACTACAGGTGTGCAATTGATTTTTGAATCCCCGTCAGGTTTAACGCAACGTTAAGACCGGCCTTACTGTATGGATCGGAGATCGAGCCAGTTCGCAGTGAAGACATTAAATGCTTGACCGTATTTGACCACCCGTGCATGCGCGTTATTGCTCACGTTTGTTACGAACACCGGGTGGGCAATTCTAAGGTTCTGCTGAGACTTTCGTCCCAATAGTTCACAAGCTACATAGCGGAGCCTAGTCCGGAAAAGCGCCAGACGCGTTTCGCCCTATTGGGGCTCGTCAGTGGCGCGCACTCCCTCGAGCCTCTAAGGAGGATCGAACCCATGACCGCTAGAGGCAGATGCCAACTAGCCAGCAGCTTAAGCCACTGAGCCATGGGGGACGTTGGCTTGGCTACATAATTTGCAAACTAACTGGGATATAGCACCACCTATCTACCACTGTCACTGACAGTGGTTAGCCTGCGAGGTGATGACGTCCTCTCACTAGACGCTATATCCATACCATTTGAAACTAGGAGTGGTTCGCCAGTTGGTTTTTGGCAAGAAGCCTTCTGGTGCCTCTCTCGAGTGTTTGATAAAACTTAGTCGTTTGCGTTGGCCAGGCCATGTCTTCCGTATGTCCGTTGATCGGCTTCCTCGACGTGCATTACACGCCATGGCTGCACCAAGTTGGGCGAAACAGCGAGGTGGCCAGTCCACGACGTGGCACATAGGTATGTAGAGAAGGACTGAGAGATTTGGTCAGCCTGGTGCGTGCCCTCTTCGTGGTTGGAGGTCTCGGGATGGTTCACGTCAATGGTTGGAGACCGTGTCAGACATGGCGTAGTCAGCGGCGTTCCTCTATTCGGATTCTTTCCTCTGGTTGTTAATTTTCTTTCTGTTCTGCTTAGTCTAACGCATTTCCTTCTTCGTTTCATTTTCTCTACATTCTATATGCACCCAACCCCAATATTCTGCCGTTGTTAGTTGTTGTTATTCTTACGGTGTGGGTCGTAGCAACTGGATCCACCGCATTTCGGTTTTCGGATCATAGTTGATCAACTGAACTAAACTGACCGTCAGGTCTAATGTGTGCTGTTTAGGACAGTGATCTTTTTTTGTTTTCATATGGGTCCTCGTCTACCGCAACCTTAAATTCTTTTGGCAATCTCTTTCCTCACTTATGTGGTTAAGGTTAAGAAAATCTTGTTTGATACTAGTGACACCATTACTCGGTTAACTCACTAATCGAGTTCCCAATAATGCCTTGTAGACGTGTCCAGGTCGATGCCTGCAAAAAGGCTGTCGTGTCAGTTCCTTCAGCTATGTGCTAACCACCTTCCGCGTAGTAATATCACTTCTAACTCAAATGTCCACACCACTCTATCTAGTGTCCAGCGAACGCAACGATGTCCCAGATTCAGGTTTATGATATTGTCACCAGTTCCAACCGGCGCATCCAACTACAGAGTCCTCGTTGGTATGCATCGCCTGTCTGAATCCCAATAATACCTCTCTACCCCAACTGATCACCTGAATTCGAGTATCTTACGCATTCTCTGTGTTATGAGTCTACTAAAACAGAATTACCAGGCTCTTTAGGTCGTCAGCTTTCAGTAACGGCTATGTTAAATAGATCGACTACTGTTTGGAAACGTTAACATTTCGCTATGAGGAAGACATTGAGAGTGTAAGTGCGCATGTATTGCATGCGGGAAAACTGTTCATTATTTTTTCTGTTACGTGTTTTCACGCCACTACCCACATCCAGTCGTTGTTAATCCCTTCCTGTTTGCTCGCAAGCACTCGTTCCGATTTCCGCTTGACACTAGGCAGTGTTTAAATCTGAACTCAAGCTACCTATGTCTGAGGAGCCGCTGACTGGCCCGTTCCAAGCCCCATGTTTGACCTTGTCAGAACCATAGGTAGTTAACATTGTCTTTGCCATTGATGCAGTCGCGTTCAAATCATCTTGTTCGATAACATGTACTCGCACCAAAATTATTGAGTCCGAGATTGCCTGCTTCAGATGCGTGCTACAGCTTCCTTGCGCACAACTACCTTCCCGCATCGCACTCCATGTTCGCGCACAGCTGACAGCGCCCTCCGTTTTGATGTCTATCGATTTGTGTTGTGCAGAGAGTGTGGCCCTGCTAGATTTTCTCCTTTGTATACGAATCCGAATGAACTGATCTTGTTTTTGCAAACTCCAATCTCAGTCACTCGATGCAAAGTACGTTGAAGAAGCAGCTACCGAAACGGTACAAGTAGTGCGGAATTAAACGTACGTCTATAAATCAACCCAAGATAGTCCAACTTCTGGAACAGCTGGGTTAACTGCCCAAATTAGCAGTTTGCTTCCACTCCGACCAATGGGGAGGTAGTTGCATGCGTCACGTGATAGACCTGTATGTTTTTTAAGTATGTCATACATTATTGGCTCGAACCGTATCCCCATGAAAATGATAGGTTTTCTAGGCAGAATTCTTCCCCACCAGGCCCCTTGAAAACTTCTAGTCCCACATGGCTTTTGCCCCTCATTCACGCATTGCATTTGTCGTCTCTGTCGATGCTTGGCCCCTTATCACCAATTTGACTAGATGTGCAACCTGTTGAGCATTATTGTAACGCACACAATGACTTTGTTTTACTTCGTAGTTTTTCTTTGGATTTGGGTGGTTCTTCACGACAGGTCAATTCGACGTAGGCAGGTGGTGGAACTCGCTCTACCGTTGTTCATCCCGCCATGGCGCTGCACTGATTCGTAGTTCATTTGATGCATAGTGCGTGAAGACTCCACTGTATGGCCTCTTATGCACTTCGACACTGCCATCGCATTGTACACATAACGCCTTCACGTCGGCATCTCAAAGTGGGTGTGCTAGGAATTCTTTTGTTTGATGAGAAGATGCACTGAATTTTGACATTGTGTTGCACATTTCACTGGTCAATGAAGTGTCTTTAGAGATAGCGAAGTGGAAGTTCTCCATTAGCATTGATTGGACTTTGTACTTCATTACTTGCCTCCTGAAGTCATGATTTTTGTTTGTTCGTTTACGCACCAGCGTCTGCCTTACTTTGCTCACGGTCATCTTTCAGAATCAACTGCATCAGCTGGCTGCCGAATTCGAAGCACTTCGGTCACGTTGTCCCACGTGCAATGGCTCACGCGATCCCGATTCTAGCATCCGATCTTACTTCACAACCACTTACAGCCCGTCCAACTGCTCAGTTGGGTTTCCTTTGCATGAGTCAGTGGAATATGAGGTAAGTCTTGACTACATTTTTCTTTTTTCATATGCCACTTCTAATACGGTCAAAGTTGCATAACAATAAGAGAGCGTGACAGTTCTCATCCTTTTTTATTTACTTGTGCAAAGCACTACCATACATTGATGTCACATAGCGCCGCTTCATCATCCTCAATTGCCTCTCTTACAACGTGGATTTTTCCCGCTAGTGCCTGATCGACCGCAGTTGTCAATTGAACGTTAGTTCGGGACATTGACGTTTCCTTGAATTTCGCGCGTGCTTGGGGTGTGATTGACCTGTATGTCCTCCCCATCATTACAATCTGTAGGTGGAACCACTGCTATTGCATCTTTGGTCTTATGTAGGCGCCGTGCTTCTTCGACTAATATTGGCCTAATTCGATCGTAATTAACCTGGTATCTTAAGTAAGCAGTCATGTGGAGGCGACGCTGCAATTTTTCATTCTATATTTGCTCTTTTGTAGCCTTAAAAGCAATGCTCCTGTTTGTTAAAATCATTTTTTTCCACTCCATTAAGCGCACACTTTACATTTGGGCTCTTATCTGACGTCTCGATGAGACGCTTTGCTCCATTTGTGATCGAGCGATGCGTTCGTCATTCAATCAAGGTGGTCCGCTGCATTCTTCCTTGTTTTGTGCTCTATGCTTTTCGGGTGCTCCCTTGGGGAACGAGGTCTTGCTATCTGTGACCCGCGTTGGCTAGTTTCATTTTATGAGATTACTTCGACTATCTTATGGCTTTGCTTGAAACTGGACTCGCTGCATTAGCGCCGAAAGCCTTTCATCAACACCAGCAGCTCTTTAGAACAACCGGACTTGTTACCGATTGAATGGGAGCAAGGCGATAGTCCCGCTCATTTCTAATGACTCCAGGCAGCATCTTTATATCGCATTTCTTTCCGACGACATTTTAACTTGTTGTCGCCCTTTTCCAGCTCGAAAACCTGAGAAACCGGGAACCACTTCTGTCACAGTAATTCGCCTAAACCGCCTCCTAGCTTCTAACTTTCAATGCTCTCACATTTTTCGTGCTGATTTACCTCACCTGATTCTTTCCGTGGATGGCGCAACCCGTTTCTTGTTTCTCTGTGTTACCAACTGAAACAGATGTCCTTTGGCTGTGCATATCCTCTCTAGTCCAGTTTTGAAGTGGCTAGGAACTCGAAATTCTTACTTTGCAGTCTGTTACTTAGGAGACTGACAACCAAACACCATCCTGTTCTTCCTAACTGATAAACGAGACTCGGTGACGCACATCACTTGGTCGTCTTCTGTGAATTCCATACTCCTTTGATGGGACTGTCCAGTCGAACTCGATATTTGCTTGTCGTGTGGCGTCTCCTAAGCTTCACGGCTACTCCGAATTGGCGATAACCTGCAGACGCCGAATATTGATGCGACGGCAACAATGGAAAGGAATTACGTGATCCCATCACTGGGGTGCGAAGGATCGGATCTCCATGCCGATACATGGGAGCAGTAAAAGGAATGAGCGGAAAGAAAAGAACAATAACTCGTAAAGATTGTATGGAAGAGTTGACTTTTGAAAAGTATAGGCCACATACAAGTGCATCACTAGCTCCGCGACTGAATTGTGTCAAATGAGTCTTCAACCAGCTGGTGTGGCCGATTTCATAAGCCGTACTCCCGTCAGGCTCTTGTATACGGCATACACCACGAGCCGCATATGGCACTTGCACATCGTTCCTGCTACTAACTTCAATTTTCAATTTACCACATCTCAATTTTTTGTGCACATCGTTTGATTATCCTCATGTTCCGTTGTATTTGTTTTGTACGCTACGATAGTCTGATTCACCACCATCCGATACTGGGATCATGTTTACTATCTGGACCGAATCGACGGGACTAGTGGATGCAACAGATGCAGTTTGGCACAGTCTTATCGTCAAACTTTTCCTTCTCTCCAACTTACCTCGACTTTGGCCGTCCATGCGCATTATCTAAAATTCGCTCACTTGTTGTTCTGCCTTTCTACCTAAAATATCATTTTTCTGTTTTTACTGCACGAATATGTTTACTATGGCCTTTGCACACACTCGTTGATGCCTTTGTTCAGCGATGGTTGATCTTTGGTAAACGATGGCACTCTGCGCTCGGTTACTCAACTGAGGAAGCCTTCGATTTAGTTTAACTCGCTCAGTACATTAAGTATACAGGATCTAAGAAACTAGTATCTACTTTCTTCCCTGTTCCTAGACCACTCATCAAATTTTTCTCTACTCGTATGCGCAGTTAAGCTCCGTCGTGATTCTTGGAGTTACCTGACCTATTGGGAATTTGTGTACTATTAGCTTCAACTTGACAGCCACTTGATTCACCGTTGCTAGTGCGGACGGGAGTGACATTTTCTTTTTCACCCCCTCACTCATTAGTCCTGCTTTCAATTTTGTTCCCTCTACATCCCTCACAGTATCTGAAAAATGTCCTTTTCGAATACATGATGGGACGCGAAACTTGGGTACGTTATCTCTGTATCTGTGGTTATTCTTTCTGTACCCTGGTAGCAGGATGTTTGCCTCAGTAGGAGAGCAACTGTCATCGCACAGTTGCGCGCAGCAATGTTCCCATTAGCCAGCACCTTAGAGGCATTTGTCATCCCGAATGGTGTTTAATTGTCTCGATTTCCAAAAACTGTCGCTTCGTGTGTGGAACTGGCTGCATGCATTGGAGCTGTGCACGTCACTATCACGTGCAACAACTTATCGGGTCGCTGTTGCAGCATCAACATCACCTGTTTAGGGTGCATTTCTGTGCCACCTTCCTTGCTTGTCTGCACGTTGTGCGCGGATCGTGGAGTCGTTACCAAATGTGCATCAATGTCAGCCTGGCCGCTCATGTGTGAACGATAAGGTGCGGTGATTCGGTGCGAATGGTGCCCACCTACTCAAGTCTAGTGAAAATAAGTTGAACTCCGACCGGTTTCTCTATCTCATTAATCACCATCCAGTCGGACGATTTAACCTCTCGTACGTTTGCAAGATGCGTTTGACGAGCTTGGATACTACTTGGGATATATATGAATATATACAATGTTTGAAGCATTTAGTACGTGAATTGTGGTAATTCCGCATGCAGTTCTTCCACTTATTCCGGTTGCGAGTTATGTTTTCAAGCATGTCAAGCCACTAGCACTCTACATCCTTTTGGTTCCCATTCAGGAGCACGTACGGATCCAACGGCGGCTAGACGTGATGTCAAGAATTTTAAGTGCTGTCATTAAGTAGTAGACTGATCGCCGCGCTGTCTCTTCCAGCCTGGTCCTGCACAAGCGAATATAGTACGGCGCGGCAAACCCTCTTACGCTATGCGTAGGATATGACCGAACTCTGTTACCTGGCGCAATGAAACCAGTTTGTTCAAGGGAATGCTCGCATTCCCCAGGACGCGACGTCTAATGCCATCACTCTGAACTCCGGGTTGGCACCACACACGAGCGATCCTAATCAAATAACCATTATCAAAGGCAGAAAGACGGCACCTGTCCTCTAGACGAATTTGCCAGGACTCGTTCTCATGCACTGAGCGAACATAAGCACTACAAACTCAGCCGTTTACTGAGATGGAGATGTCCCGACGACGCTACAACTGCGGAGAGAAACGTCCTTACCAATATTGCTGCCAGCAGGAGCACAGCTCCAAAGGTAGGCGAAACTACCTACCTGATTGAGCTGTGCACCTTCAAGATCGAGCACAGGAGTGGGTATTGACCAATCCTGGAGTAGCACTTTACACATCGAGGGGACGAAACACATGCCATACCTAATTGTCTCAACTGCCAAGCGGTTCAGAATGAGTTTTATACTCTACGGGTTATCACCATTTAAGGCGATATCTGCATAATGCAAGTCGATCGCGTGCTAACTATGTAGAAGCTCCAAGCCATAATTTTGGAAGTCTTCTATGGCTCTCAACAGAACGTTTTCCATTGCAAAATTAAAGAGGAACTGAGAAATGGGGGAACTTTGTCGCACACCGCTATTGACAGCGAAGGACTGAGAAAGCTTGTCCTAGACCCTCCGCTTAACGAGAATGTGAAGGTAAAGTGCGTGTTAGAGGCGTTAAATTTCTCTTGTACCTCTCTCTTTAGCAAACAATGCATAAAGCAGTTCGATCAATTGAGTGGAATGCATCCCGGATGTCTAAGAATGCGACGATGATCGGCCTGTTGTAATGGTGGTGGTGTTCGAGGATTTGGCGGAGTGTGAAAACTTAATCCACGGCCTGCGCGAAGACCATGTTGTTCTTTGAGGTAGTCTGTGAAGTAGAGTAGATGCCATCAGCTTAGCGACCGCTTAAATGAAACTAATCCCTCGAGATGACTGACGCTTGAACTGCGAGCGACTTTCTCGGCAACTGAGACAATAACTGATCCGTCTCAAAGGGATGGCACTTCTCTATTCCGGATTTTAGAGAACAACAATCTCAGCTGGTTAATGGTTACTACGCCGCCGTACTTGAACACCTCCGGAGGAAGTCCGTCCGAGCCAGCAGCCTTGATTCGTTTCAAGGATCCAATTTCGAAGCAAACTTTCGCTTCACCTGGTGGATCCTATGGGACAAGGTAGGGTAGGCAACTGGGTATACTGCGTGCACATGTGGACAGTCGGGCTAGTTAAACTGTAATCTGAAATGCTGGGTACAGCGATCCAAACGTCCCTGTTTGTTGGTGATCGGAGACCCATCCTCTTCGCACTTAGCCTCATTGTCACCAGGCTTCCTGAAGCCGGTGGACCTAATGAGTTGGGAAAGCTTACTAGTATTGCCTGATAGGCAGCGGTCTCCATCTCCAAAGCATGCTTAGACCACAGGCTCGCGCTCTTTGCGCAGGCTTTACTTGAGCTGCCGGTTGGCAAAGCGGTGCCGGTTATTGTAATCTGGTTCTGCCGGGATGTCTCTGCGACGATCGAACAGCTCCAGAGAGCGAGTAGCGATCCAGTTCCCAAGGGGCGTGCAGCTAGGCCGCAGCTTAATTGTCCAGAACCGATCATTGTCTTCTGTATATAAGTTCAGTGTTGTTCAATGTATTGTGATCGATCGCAGTAGACTGCATCCGTCAATGAGGACTGATAGCTCACCTGGATCGCGAAATAAGTTGCTCTGTTCATATCCATTTTGCGATGTTTCGTTTATGGGGGGATAGACTTCTTCCCCCGAATCACCAACAACATTCATTTATTTATGATCATGTATCTTTTATGTGTTTTTGAGCAGGGCTAGTAGTAAAAGGACACTTCATTGCCGCGCTACCATCAGCGGTTGCAAGTGAGCTGTACTACTGAGTAGTCGTGTCCATTTACGCTGGTTCTAGCTAGTGACCAATGGGTTAAAGGAGTCACCGGGTCACGCTGCGAGTAATGAAGTCAAGTTTATCGCTCACTGGCGTGCCATGATTCGTCTCGATTCAAATTGGCACCTGTTCGATTACTGGCGCACACAGATTGTTCCAAACCTGCCGGTCCCAGACGCGCGTTCACGCTGCTCCGCCATTATGACCTCTAGCTGATTTCTCTGTCTACTGAATAGTGGGTCTGCTTTGAGTTACGAGTTCCATCTGAAGGCCGCCCAGCTTTATATCGCTGGTTCTTGCGCTGGGCTTTTGTGTTAGCTCCTACCGTAATGAGTACTTTCGAATGAAATTTTCCATCCGAGTTAACAATTTGGGAGTAGTGTCTTCCTGTAAAGCTCCATCGTTTGTATTTCCCCGTCTCTTCTTCGTCCGACCCTTGTCACCGGTTCCTTTCAAGTGTGTTGACGGAACACCTTCCTGGACTTTGGGACTCACGCTAACAGCCAGATCAGCTCGTCTTTCAATTCCAGCTCCTTTACGCGGTTTTCAGGGTCTAAGCTTATTCCCTTATGAAGCACCTGACGCATTTTGTAACACACAAGCAACTTATGCTTTACCTTAGACACCAGCTCCACCTTGTTGGCCATTATTTGACCTTTGTGATAATCAAAACATGCATACTCGCTACCTTGTAAACCTTCTGTATTACACATTCCAGCGTACCTCGTTTCATTTCAGACATTGTCGAAAGTATTGTGCTCCATCATGCAATTCAACCCCGAGCAAACCAAACGAATACTGCAACACGAGGGGTCCAAATCTCGAGTAAGTGTTCTCATTGATCATCTTTCCCGCTCACCTTTGAAAACAGCGGCTCTCTGTATGTACACCATCTCTATTCACTGTTCATGACGCCATCTATTTTAGTGACTTGGCTAAGCGTACTGATTTGTCCCTGGCTGACATCTTAGACAGCCTCTTCATATTTTTGTGTCGCTAGCAGGTTTACCACCTGCTACACTTGGTAGCTGGGACAGTATCTTTTGTTTGCCATCCGTCTGGCGCATTTTTTGCGCACCTTGCTATGGTTAGTACATCCTGGTAACTGCAGGCGAAACAAGCCACCCGTACCTATTCTCGATGAGTTTTGGCGTCCATCGCTATCCAGATGCTTCTCGCTACACGGACGGTTGCGCTTCTTACGGTTGGGGCGTGCAGGTTGTTGCATTTTATAGCCGGTATTCTTGTTTTCTGAAAGTTTTACGCGATAGACTAGTATACCATTTGATGCATGATGCGATGGTTTGAGTACCCCCGTGACCCATTGAGCTACGCCGGGTAACACTTTCCCCTCATATTAAACAGGTCGATGGTTAGGGATCAGACTAACAGTCTCATAATCCAATCCTCTTCGGTGGTAAAGGAGAGATCGATATCCCTCTTCCTTTAAAACAGACATGGGTGACAAGAAGTCTACAGGTTATAAGCTCTCAACTCGATTGGCGTAGAGCACGAGCGCCACGCATTGTCACTGACGGTGTGAGAGTATCTTCGGGTGCTCCATGTTGTGCTACCGCCCGCCTCAAGTCAAGCAGTCCCTGGCCAAATTGTTGGAAACCGGCCAACTTCCACCTACGGCTGGTCGTGGTCGCAGATGCATATCATAATACGGTACTAAAACACGTGTGCACTGTTCTTAATCTTTAAAGCTTGTGTGTGACAGGCCCCAAGTAGGTCCCAGTGGGTCTGCGTGATCACACTCTCGAGCTGGACTTGATCCTCACTACCTTGTGGGTCAAGTTATTGAGCCAATTGGAGTCCGTCAAGCAAACCTCCATGTGCCACACTATCTTGTGGTCAGACTGTTGAGTCGTAGGCTAAAGGCAGGACACCTCGAGCAAAACCCTTCTCTCGGAATGGACAGCCGAAGGAGTATCATCTGCCCTCTCCACACCGTCAACAATACTCCCTTCTTATCTCCCATCTCCCCCGTCTATTGAGCAAGAGACTGCCACTGACCTCGTAGCTGCTGCTGTTCCATCAAGTCCAGAGTACCATTTCACTCTAGGTCAGATCAGCAAGCAGGCAGCACTGACTCTGTTCACTCTCTTAGTATTGATGTATTGTGTCTCCGAAATATGCATACAAAATAACGTCGTCGTGACAGATATTCTACTCCCTAGTTATGATTAAGTTTCCCATGGTTGCAATCTTCGCTTCTCTGTCGATGCTGAGTCAATGCCTCAAGGTCTTCATGATGTTGGTATTGCCCCCAGCAGACATCCTGAAGGCCGTCTGCTCGACTGGATGCCAGTGAACGGCTGCATATGTGCGCTTCAACTTCGAATCTCTGTTGGAGTTAATAAGCAGCGTCTCAAGCCAAGGAGCCTTTTCGTCGCTTCGGTTTATGCCCTTACTGTATGCACTTCGGAGGGTATCAAATATGATTTTTATTGACAGCCCTCATCTTCTCTTCACATGGCGAAGAATACTGACATCCTGGCTGTTGCTGGTGACATGAATGTCCAAATGAGTCGTCTTTTAGGCTCTGAACAACACCTGAGAGGCCACTTTGGAGTCGATGCTCGCCAAACAGACAATGGTGACCGATTCCTGCAACTGCGCGCCTACCACAACCTTCACCTTAGCATTACTGCTTTCCAGCACAAACGTTCACACGCGTCACCTGGCGCCTATCGAATTCCTCATTGACCTGGACCCAAGTTGACAATATTGCTATCAGCTACAGATGGTGCACACCAGTCCAAGACTGTTGGTAAATTTGGTGCACAGGTGCGCACACGCTTAGCGCACACTTATCCCACTTCAGAGAAGCACCTCTCTTCTACTCTACCTGGAACTCGAACTCGCAATCGTAACGAACTGGCTCACTGATTGTCAGGAATGAATGAGGTTGCTGTACCGAACGCTGACTGGATCGTTTCAAATGTGCAATGTACAATGTCTTTGACGCATGCTGTGCACACAAATTGAAGCGTCATAACTGTGAACGGATGTCTGAGACATCGATCAGTTTGGTCGAAGCACGGAAACACGTTTCGGAACTCTCTGAAACGATGTCTGACAATGAGTCTTCGTGTTACCTGGTAATGATGAATAGCAAAGGCCCGTGAGAAGGAGAAAGCCGGTGCTATTAGGAACAGCCAAGTGCTATTCCAACTCATCTTGTACACCGGTCCGAAAAAGCCATCAGTTAGCGAGACAATGACTGAGAAAGATGGACAGTTGATCCATTCACAGCATCGTCAACTAGCCCGTTGGGTGGAATATTTTGAAGTGCAATTCAGCAGACCTGTTGCGACGCTGTTGCTTGTTGACCGTCGCAATGTTGCTGGACCTTACCGCAGTGCGATGGTTTGTGTGCCTCAGCGATCCATTGCGTTATGCTGAGTAGTGATTTTTTGCACCTTCAGAGCCACTCATAGTAGATTGGTCAATGGTTAGAGGCCAGACAAACTATCTCCTGGCCCTCCACCTTGGGGGTTGGAGTGAGGTTGGCTCCTTGTTCCTTAAAAAGAGACTCCTTGTAGTCCATTGCCAAACCCGCTGCATTTCATTCAGCTTTTTGAACCGAAGGCTTTGGTTGAGAGCCCTAATCATTCTCCTGTCTATGCCTGGACAACCTGACAGTATTCTACCCACGCAATAATATGAAACCTTTATTAAGCAATTTATTGATGCTCTGGCCATCACAGAGGATAATCAACGGTACCTTATCTGCTGCATCGAGCAGAGTAAATAGGGGTTTGGATACCATTGCTCAAGCCTTCCCGTCTTCTTATTCACCCCCCTCTTGCGCTTTTTCACCCTTATCGTCCTGTTCCAACTTCACTTTTATCCCCCCGTTTCCAATCCCACAATTCTTCGCCCTCCACCACCTTGCTTTGATAAGCGTTTATCCGCTGGTTTCAACTAACATGCAAACGCAGAGAACCACTCTTGTCATATCGACAAGCTCATGTCTAACCAAGCTGTCAAGCCCAGGTTATTGGCTTTTATCTGAAGCCCCCTATCTTCCCTCAGATTGGTATGCCTCATTGTACGCACATTGTTACAGAGCCGTCAATAGGCAGCACTTGCCCAAACATTAGAGACCCTCTGGATCGATAGCTATTGCCTATCGGAAGCCCGCCTGCAAAACCTGAGCGGTGTGCTCGCTCTGGGACTTCCTTCATTACTTTATCATTGTGCCTATCCGATGATGCAACTTCGAGTGCAAGCCAAGCCACTGTTGGTATTACCTTGAGTCCTCGGACTGAAGCTGCTCTGATTGCTTGAATCCCAATCAGTTGCCGGATATGTGCGGTCCGACTGGCTGCTTCATTCAAAGCTTCGAAGTCCCGCGGGACTAATATGTGTCTATTCGTCATCGCGGCCTACACCCCCACAAACTTTGGCGATGATTCGGCAAAAGACGACTTCCATCATCAACTGAACGAGCTCCTTCGCCATAGAAGAAGCACGGACACTGTAGTGCTGACTGGGGATGTGAACAGGTTGGGAAATTGTCCACTAATGAGCCGCATCTGGGCGACCAACATGCTGTAGGCTCTCGTAATGATAACGGTGAGCGGTTACTTCATTTGTGTGGAGATGCTCGCTTATTTCTTGCAAGCACTTACTTCCGGCACAATACTCGTCAGAAGGTGACATGGCGCCCACCAGCCTCGAACCAGTCATGGATGCAAATCGATCACATTGCGACCAGTTATCGCGGGAGGGGCTGCGTCCAAAACTCTCCCCGGATTTGGAGCACATGTGTGGACGCTGACCATGCACTTGCATGTGCTGAACTGCGGGTGCGTTTTGGAGGGCGCTCTTGACGACTCTGTGACCGCATAGGCATCAGCCAACTGGCGAAGCCAGGCAAATCCTCATGTGGTAAGTCTAATAGCCAACATGGATATTGGGTCTCTTCGCGGTCTCTGGAACTTATCGATACTCGCCGGCATATTCCGGCTGGAAGCGAACGCAATGAAACTCGCAAAGAGCTCCGGGCAAAACTCGGTGCTAACCTTGAAGTGAGACCGCGAATCCTGGTGGTCTCATCGTGCGCCTGAGATGGAAGTGGCTGCTGCGCTTGGTAACCATCGGAAGTTATTTCGTCTGATACGGGAAACGGGCAGCAAAGGCCCTGGAGTTAGTGAACCAATTTATGACGAGTCTAGACAGCCTATCCACAACTTGTCAAAACGCTTGGAGCTTTGGGCTGAGCAGTTTGAAATGCAATTTAATCGATCGGAGTTGTCAGATTTTTCGCCAGCCACTGATCGCCCTGCTCCTTGGTCTGTCCCTTTGGATCCACCCTGTCGCTCAGCAATCGAACGTGCGCTTGGACTGTTGAAGTTAAATAAAGCTGCTGAACCAGACGATCTTCCTCCAGCCCTCTTCAAATTCGGGGGTCCTGCTCTTGTTGATAGTTTACACGAATTACTAGTGAAACTGTGGGAACAGGAAATTGTCCTAACCGACTGAAGCCGCTCCGTTATTGTCCCGATCTTCAAAGGATGTTCGCGTTCGGAATGCGGCAACCATACAGGAATCAGTCTGATCCCAATCGTCTCCAAAGTACTTGCATCTGTCATCCTGTACAGACTGACTGGCAATCGTGAAAGCCATATTCGTGAAGAGCAAGCCGGGTTTCGTCGAGATCGTGGCTGCATCGACCACATCTTCATTTTGCGTCAGCCTTTGAGCATCGTCACATGTATTGGCGGCCTACCGTTGTCGTGTTCCTCGACATCAAAGGTGCCTTCGATTCTGTGGATCGGACTGTCTACTCAGGAAAGGTGTACCCGCGAAAT